TTCGGATTCTGGGTCTCCCTCTCTCTCTGCCCCTCCCCTGCTCGACTCTGTCTCTCTCTCCTTCAAAATAAATACACATTAAAAAAATTATTTAAAAAATCTATAAAAAAACCTTCACTTTGCATTTTTTAAAAACTGAAACGATAGCTGTGTACCTCACATCTTTTAGTCTTCCGCTGTCCCTCTGCTGATTTGGAAGGAACATAATGCATTTCTCTGTGCTTTTGTTGTTTTGGGTTCCATTTCTTTTGTGGGCACCTTTAAACTTTTTAAAAAAATTTTTTTAGTGTTTATTTTTTTAGAGAGAGGCAGAGCACGAGCAGGGGAGGGACAGAGAGAGAGAGAGAGAGAGAGGGAGACAGAGGATCTGAAGTTCGAACTTGACCTGAGCCAAAGTCAGACACTCAACTGACTGGGCCATCCAGGCGCTCCAGCACCTTTTCATTTTTAAGATGTTACTTAACTATATATTTTCCTAACCGTGTTTATAGTTGTTTATTATTTATTTTTAACGTCCCACCCATGATGATGACCTCGAATGCTTTTCCTCTCACCTCCAACAGCAATCATGTCATTGACCTTAGTAAAGTTTTCATTTCCCCTTTTTCTTAAACATGCAGGAATAAGTTCTGTTTTCTTTCTAGTCCATTGTATATCATACTTATTGGCTTACTTTATCATTTTCTGTGTCCACTGTCATTTCTTTGGGGTGAAACTTTTCGTGGCCCTACCCCCATTTTTTCCTTGCAGAGGACCATCCTTTTGTAGTTCTCTTACTCAGAATCTGAGGTAGTAAGGTCTAGTCCTTTTAGGTTTGTCTGTATTTTTTTTTTTAATGTTTATCTACTTTGAGCGAGAGAGAAAAGGTGTGAGTGGGGGACGGGCGGAGAGAGAGAATCTGAAACAGGCTCCATGCTCCGCACCGGAGCCCGACCTGGGTCTCAATCTTCGGACTGTGAGATGGACCTGAGCTGAAATCAAGAGTTGGACGCTTGGGGCGCCTGGGTGGCTCAGTCAGTTAAGTGTCCCACTGTAGCTCAGGTCATGATCTCGCGTTTCATGGGTTCGAGCCCCTCATCGGGCTCTGTGCTGACAGCTCAGAGCCTGGAGCCTGCTTCAGATTCTCCATCTCCCTCTTTCTCTCCCCCTTCCCCATTCCCACTGTCACTCTCGCTCCCTCGAAAATAAATAAACGGGGGCGCCTGGGTGGCTCAGTCGGTTAAGCATCCGACTTCG